GGTAAGGCAGGTCGGATCTGTTTCGGTCGTAGGATCACTCAGAGGCATATGGGAGTGCGTGGGATCACAAAGAGCCTAGATTCAACAAGCCACCTATAGGCCTTGTACGAAAGGATATCAAAAGTCTACAGAGCTAGCTACAGGGAGTGTCTCAATATATACCTATCCTAGTCGGGTCCGAATTCGGATCCGACCTCGGGCGAATGGCTGATGAAGGGCGGCAGGTACTTCCTCCGATCCGGCTCTGGGATTGGCTCAATACTTGGCGAAGTTGTAACATCGTTACTGTAATGGGCGGGCCCAACGGGCCGAGCGTACGACTACTTACGCCATCCATAGCCAAAAAGGCAGTAACAAGACTTCAAGCTTCTTGAAGTCTAGGTAGTCGTATAGATATACTCGATCACACACACACTTTAGGCGTAGCCTCTTACAGTTACAAACCTCCTCTTCTAGCTTATTTAGGCGCTTTAAATTTAGTTCGCAGTCGCGTTAAAAGCGCTTTCTAGCGCGTTAGTCTTAGAGAGTAGTTTAAGGCACGTTATAAATAGAAGTAGCACGTCTTTAGCTTTAAACACGTTGCGATTAGACGTTAAAAAAAAGCAAGTTAAAGATTAGATTTAGAATAACGTGGTTCATAAGCGAGCGGACACCCCAAGCGAGCGGACACCTCCCCACTAGCGCGTTAACTTTAATACGTTATTACAGCCTTTTATTATAGTTAATAAACTATTGCAATATACTAAATTAATTATTAGAATTGCTATTATTACTTGCACTATCTATCTTAACTACGCAGGTACGAGCGTTGTGTCTAGTCTGCTTGCAACGCCCGCACCGCCGCTCTCCTCGCACCCTCTTTAACGCACTCTTACTATTACTATAACTGCTACCTGCCTATTTAGCTAATACTTTTTGTACTTTGCCTATAGTAAGAGTCTCTTCTATCTATACGTATCGCCGCTTGCGGCTTTTACGCTTATTTAACTTGTTAAGAGCCGCTTAAAGCGTACCTATTTCCTCTATTATAAGCGTTATTTTATGTACTATTTGCTAGGCCCCCTTACTTAGCTACGCGATCTACTTAGTAAGTAAATTAGTAGAAGATCTATAGCGTTTTCTTACGCTCTCTTAAATAAGACTAATTTAAGACTTAACTTCGCGCGCGTTGCGTGGTGTCTGCGCCTGCTAGGCAGCTACCTGTTGTGGTAATTAACAAGGTGTCTGCACTACTACATTAAGCTTAGATAGCACAGCCTGTAGGTCGTGTAGGACTAAACCAGCACCTCTAAAGCTAGCTTAGATATTCTCCTTTATAATAGACTGCTTAAAAGCAGCCTTAAAGGCTAGTAGGAAGGTTTCCTTGCTAATATAGTAGGTGCAGTTGCGTGCTAAGCCTAAAACAGCGTCACTATACTTGCGCTTCAATAGCGAGAAGCAGGCGACGTTAAGGGGCTGCAATAGGTAAGACGAGTGTGGAGGTATGTAGAGAAGAATAATATTCTTCTCCTTGCAAAGATCTTGAAAATTAATAGAGCAGTAGCTCTTATAGCTGTTAATAATAAGTAGTTAATACCTACTTATAGTATGCCTCTTTATATAAGTATTAAAGTGCTCTAACTAGGCAAGACTAAGCTAATTATTCGTCTAGCTATTAGGACTAACTTTAAGAACCTAGTTAGTAGGCAAATTCTTAAACTAGACGTTAATAAGCACCTTACCCGCAAAAACAACAAAGGGTGGTATCTAGCGACCTAATGCGCCCACGCCTTAGATTATAGTAACCTACTTATAGTTGCCTAGCTATATCTGCTTCTTTTTCCTATATCTTTTTAAGCCTATAATTAATAACTATAATAAAATCTTGCTTATTATAAAGCTAGTTTTGTTAAAGTTATAGATATTGTTGTCTATAATACCCTACTTCTACTTTGCTGCCAAGACTAAGTTAAACTAGCGCTAGATAGCCACTAGGTCTTTGTAGGTGGCTCGCTAGTGATTATAGGGACAGCTCTAGCGCGTATAGAGCTTAGTAGTCTGCCTAATAAAGTTGTTAACCTAGTTCTTGCTAACAGGGTTGCTACCACGCTCTTTTAATAGTTTATTAGCTATGGCTTAAACCTTAGCCTTTGTAGGCGCAAATCCTCGCGTAGACTCTTTAAGAATACGCCTAATAATAGCCTCCTCTTCTAGCTTATTTAAGCGCTTTAAATTTAGTTTATAGTCGCGTTAAGAGTGTCTTCTAGCGCGTTAGTAAAATAAAGTTATTTAAGGGACGCTATAGATCTTAGTAGCACGTTTAACACTCTTTATACGTTAGGAATTAATATTAGAAATAGCAAGTTAGATATTAGCTTTAGAAAAAGTTTGTTAAATCTAATGTAGTTAAGACATAACGCGTTGTAATATGAACGTCGACGCGCTGGTGGGGAGGTGTCCGCTCGCTTGGGGTGTCCGCTCGCTTATGAACCACGTTAGATTAACAAATAATTATGTAGTTAAGACATAACGCGTTATAGTGTTAACGTCGACGCGCCGGTACAAAGTGGCCGACTCGCTTATGAACCACGTTAAAGGGGAAGTAGGTAGAAGAATATGTTTCTAATGTCCTAGAAATGTAACTGAATCGCTGCGCAACCCCTTAAGGGTGGCGCCTGTTCAGGCCGTCGGATCTAGCAACAATTTGACTGAGAATGAAAATTTCCAGAGGGCTTAGTATTCAGAAATGCTAAGGCTGTAGTTGCTTACAGCCAAGTGTGGTAAACTACTAGGTTTCCACATCGCAATCTATTTTCTCCGTTATTTCCGTCAATTCCCATCCAAATCAGATTGTCCATGACTCATTTTATAGCCCCACAATAGGTCTACGAAGTCATACCCCTCATCTTTCGCGGAAAAACAGAAAATCATAATCATAATAGGTCTACCAGTACCGTATGTTAACTTGTTCTATAGCTGTAACATTCAAGAGGTTGTCAGCCTACTTACGTCTAGAACACGTAGGTCTCTATGTAGAGCTCCGAACTAATATAATAGCTCTATTGTGAATTTAAAGAAAAACTGTATGATTGTAAGTTATACAGCTACTCTAGAGCTATATAACAAGCTATGGATCGTCAGATTTGGATGGGGATTGACAGGGATATTGTAAGTAGAACGAGATCCCAATGTGGAAACCCGTTTACCAGTCTATCTGCACGTCGCAAAATTGCTGTTTCCCGAATGTCATGTCTAAAGATGGTGTATGAAACGCCTATACCCAGTATATACGACCATAGCCAAAGTAGATTACCGGGTCCCGTTTCGCTCCCCATACGTAGAAATCTTTGTGCGGCAGATTATTAGTCAGGTGGGAGACCACTGGCGAATCCCTGCTGTTGTATGTTTTTTGTTTTTTTTGGCACGTGTATCTGGCTCACGTGACCCTACATGGTGTATCTACTCCAAGTAGCCTTTGCTTCTACTCTTGCAACTAATGCAGGATTTAATGCTCAAAATGCGAGATAACATTTTTGTGCTGCGCACCAGACACGGGCATCCTCGGCAGCACGTGATAGAAGCGTGTGCGCCAAAGCGTCAGTGCGAGCACGCGACGAGCACGAGTACACCAGTGCGGGCCGAGCCTGCTGGCGTCCACGGCCCGCCGAGTGTTGCTGCAGTCCATGACCTTGTGACTCTTGTATCTTTCAACTCTCTATTTCACTGCTTCCTCATCTCGCTTTCAGGCGCCAACCTCCAAAACCCGCTTCGATTTATGCACGTAAAATGACCATCTGGCTAGGTTGGAGAAGCGGGGGGACATGGCATGGCAGTGTTGTGCTCGGTAGTACACGAGACGTACGGGTCGAGCCGCAAAGAGTTAGTGAGTGGGCAATCAGGGAAGAGAGTAAAAGCAGATGAAAATAGAAGCCGGCCGTCTAGGGTCCAATGGGGAAGTAAATGCGGAGAGGCATTGGTATCGCTCGGGGGGCGCAAGACCGGGGCAGGTGGCTTACGTGCAGCGACAGTGGGCCGACGGCAGCTCCGCTATTGCAGCTGTTCGCCGTGTCGGCATATGCGTTCAATTTGAATGGATGCCATGTGCAGGATTTCCCGACTGGGATCACGGCGCAAAGCACGACGATTGGTACGAGTGATTGGACGCCTTGCCAATGGGCAGAGCAATTATCGCGTGGCAAGGCTGAAGTGTGCAGGTGCATCCTTCGGTCACCGAAGTCGACATTAGGCGCAATCTCAGTCGTGACGGGATATAACGATAAGTGACTTGCCACTGTTGCAGAGCCAGCTACGCAAGACACCATGGCGGCAACGACTCCAGCAATTCCTCTCCCAACGGGCCCTGGAGGCATGCCAGGCGAAATATGGAACTTGCCTGCGCTTCCACCGCCTCCGGGCCAAAAGTCGAATTTCGTCAACCCGGATTCCCGAGACACCGAGCTGATCGTCATGAATGCCGTGTTTCTGAGCGCGACAGCCGTGGCAGTGGTGGTGCGTTTTGTCGCACGCCGGAGTGCGAAGGACGTGGTGGGCTGGGATGGCAGTAAGACTGCAAGATTCGTATTGGTGGTATTGTTGCTGATATCAGACAGTCATGTGTATTATTGCGACGCTCGCATCGGCTGCTCATAGCGGACTTATGATCTCCGGTAAGTAACAGCCGCGTTGTCCTGCTACGACTTGTGCTAATGGACCAGATCTCGACATTGGCTACGGCAAGCACTTGTGGGATATCCGCGCAGTGACGTTGACGCGCCCAAATCTTTTGGTACTTGTCTCTTGCACAGTCTATCCATTGGTATCTAACGTTTCGTAGAGGCTCAACCAGCTATCCGCGCTGTACATCATCGCCATTTGCTTTGCCAAACTGTCGGTCTTGCTACTTTACTTTCGATTCTTCCACGTCGTCGACTTTACTCGCCATCTCATTTGGTTCGGCATCTTCTTTACCCTTTTCTCGTCTGCGGCATTCATGGGCCATGAGATTGCGCAGGCTATGCTGTGCATGGGTATCTCCGCCGTGACAAACAGTTTCTGCCAAGCAGTCAACAAAGTCGTTGTGATCCAGGCAGCCGTCAATGTCTTACTCGACTTTTACATTCTGGCCATTCCGCTCCAGCAAGTGTACAAGCTCAACATGAATTTTCAGAGGAAGCTGGGAGTTGCTGCTGTCTTTGGAGTCGGTCTTGTGTGAGTCAACACCCTAGGCTTTCATCTCAAGCGAAACTAATAGCAAACAGGGCGTGTATTGTCAGTGTAGTGCGGATGGGGTGGTCAATCAGAAACTTGAACGAGTCAGATCATTTCTGGGCTGCTGTCCTGACGTCGGAGATGACGATTGTTGAGATCAATACGGTCATCATCGCGCCGTGTCTTGTCTTCGCGCCCGCTTTTGTCAAGCGCAGCAGAAGCGGACTGTCGAGTCTTCGGACACGACTAGTCAGCAGCGGGCAGAGGACACCATCGAAAGACTCGCTGTCAGTCATATACGAGGGACCACACGACGAGATACGGAAACCCGAAGTCGTTCCGCTGCAGTTTGTCACAGCGACTGAAGGCTACGTGGAACCCAGGAAGCCTGACTCCGTACACAGTCGGTAGATATTTGCGATACCAGTTGCGCTGGAGTTGGCTTTGAATGGCGCCATGTAGATGTAAATTGAGCATATTTACGAGCGCTATAGTCCGAGTTGTCATGTGACCATGTGCCAACATTGCTGGGTCTGTTAAGTCTGTCTTGATCTTGTCTGGCATCCAACATCAACTACTCAGACATGAGAAGCAAAACAGCCAGCTACATCGTGGCCATGGAGCACAAAGACTCGACTGCCACCCCGGCTGCCACAGCCTCGGTCATGTGCAGGCTTGGGGACACGCGGCAGCTCGATTACGAACAATGCCCGTCCATCGAGGCAGATTCCATCAACGACACGCTGCCGTCTAGTCTGGCAACCTTGCTACCACTGCGGCTTACTTAGCACTCGACATGCGCTTGTCAGCTTCCGGGGGGCAAGGCGGCCCCCACAAGGCCAATGGCAGGCAACATGCCTTGAACATTGGCGTTGAGCCCCGCCCCACGACAGCACTATCAAACAGCGTGTCGGTAACCAATGTTGCACGGCAGCAGAGAGCATGCAACCCACTTGTCGGCCAGGATGCGGTTGCGAGTAGCTTATCGCGGATATTGTTGCATGCATTTAGCCTGTATCTGCTGTGTCTGCGCCACGCACATTGGCGTCCCTCCGCGGCGCTTCGAGCAACACCCCCCCACCAACCTTCTATTTTCCCATGCACATGTGCATCGACACACGCGAAGGATGCGCTATCTGCTTCCGTCCACGCCTCTCTCTGCTCTACGTACATGTCCGCTCCATGGGTGCCAGGCGTCGTCGGCTTCAATGTAACTTTGGGTTGGGATACGTAACAATTGTGGTTTCGGGTAAGGGAGCACCTAGTGTAGGTAGTGTTGCCTGGAGGCGATGCGTGTGAAAGGGGCTACTGAACCGCGCCACACCATCGTACGATTTGCTGTGATTCGGCATCAACAAACACTCTCGCTTTGCTTCAGACTCTCCATGTAGCGGTATCCCTTTCTCTTCACCTTCGCCGCATTGCTGCTCGCGTTTGCTAAAAGGTCGCTTCTCCGCTCACCAACAAACCCTTGCTTTCGATCCCACAAACTCCACAACCACCCCACCACTGTACACAGAGCTACATCATCAATCGCCCTCCATCGCCTTCATTATGAGCAACAGCAACCTCGAGGGCCCAGTTCTCATCTTCGGTGGCTGCGGCTTTCTTGGGCACCACCTTGTCCGCGAGTTTGCTCGCGCGACCCCGAATACCAAGGTCGCTGTCGTCGATGTCAACACTGAGCGCAATCGAGACCCAAATGCCACATACTACACTGCCAACATTACCAAGCGCGATGAGATAGCCAAGGTCTTCCAGGAAGTCAAGCCGCAGGTTGTGCTCCACACAATTTCGCCCAACCCTTTCGAAATCGACCACTCGCTGCTGGAAAAGGTCAATGTCATTGGAACCAAGAACATTGTCGACTGTGCCAAAGAGGTCGGCACTGTGCACGCACTCGTGTACACATCGAGTTCGTCGGTCGTACACAACCAACGCCAGCCCCTGGTCGAAGCCACCGAAGACCTGCCGGTTCTCTTCTATCCCGACCAGCCGGAATTCTACTCGCACACCAAAGCACTCGCTGAAAAGACGGTTCTCGAGGCCAACCGCGAAAACGGAATGCTGACGGCGGTCGTGCGGCCCGCAGCCCTCTACGGGTCTGGCGATGAATCCATGACGACCAACATGACCAAGCAGGCTTTTACCGGCCACGCCAACATCCGTGTCGGCAACGAGCCATACCTCTACGACACGTGCTACGTGGAGAACTGCACAAACGCACAGCTGCTGCTCGTGAAGGCGCTCCTCGAAGCCAGCGCCTCTGCACCACTGCCCGCCGACAAGAAAGTCGAAGGCGAAGCCTTCTTCGTGACCAACGACGAGCACATTCCCTTCTGGAGCCTCTCGCGCCTAGTTGCCGACATCATGGGAAAGCCGGTCAAGGACAAGCAGGTCAAGCAAATCCCCATCTGGCTCATGAAGGCCATTGCTTTCACAGGTTCATGGCTCTACTGGATCTTCTCGCTCGGCCGCAAGCAGCCCGTGCTGACGCCCTGGGTCGTCCGCCTCACCACCATGGAGCGCACCATTTGCATTGACAAGATCAAGGCGCGTCTCGGCTACAAGCCCTCGTTTTCCAATCGCCAGGGCTGGGAAAAGGCGCTCGAGTGGTCGTTGCCCAAAGTACAGGCTGCGGCTAAACAGGGCTGAATGAGCTTTAGCACAACTCCTACTGCTACTGCTACTCTGCCAACTTCCCCAGCATACTCCAGGCTGAGCCTAAAAATAAAGTTAAACCCCAGTATCATGTACTTTTATATCCGCAGAATTCAAAACATCACCACCGTCACCGTCATCATCATACCACCAGGCAGGCATCCAAGTATCCAAATCCTCTTTTTTTAAAAGAATATATATATATATATATATACCAATCATATTCTCCCCGTACTTGAATACGTACTAAACCTGTGATATGTGCTCATACCCACTTTTTCTCCTCCTCGCATGTACAACCCGATCAATCAATCAATCAATCAATCAAATCACATCCATCCATCCAATCCATCTTCTCAGCCCCCATATCCCTCAAACAGAAAGAGAGAAAGAGAGCAAAAAAAAGGGCCCGGTATATCACGCCAGCCAACCAACCAACCAACCAACCAGTCACCCCTTTCTCGCACCACACGAGCAACATTTCTCATACGAGGCCAGCAAAATACACTAACAAAGCGGAGGGGGGGGGGGTTAGTTTTGAATCCACCCCCGGAATGAGTGTAACGGGGGCAAATCCAAGTCCAAGTTCGGGGAGTGGGGGAGGGGTGTGTGGGAGGAAAAAGTGTGGTGGGGGGCCAATACCGGGCTATGGGTAACGGGGTATGGGTATGGGTATGGGTATGTATGTGTGGGTGTGGGTGTGGGTGTGGGTGTGGGTGTGTGTATGGGTGTGAGTAAGAAGTGAGATGTGAGAAACAGGCAACTGGCTTGTTTCTGACGTAAAGATAGCATACAGCACACTACAGCACATTTGCTCACCCGCGCCTCTTTTTTTTTTACAGACTCGCTGCCTACACTGTGCAGTGCAGTGCTGTGCTGTGCTGTGCCCATACCTACATCCAGTAGCAGACAGGGCAGGCAGACAGGGCTAATTATCTATGTTTAGTCTGTAGAGCGCTACTTGTGTATGTGGGGGTACAGTACGGCATGATATAAAAAAGGGACAAACTCCCCATCGCAGTTTTTTTTTGGAATCTCCACTCCATAATATCTCCCCCGTATTTATTTATTCATTTATTTTTTTCTTCTTCTTCTGCTTCTGCTTCCAAGAACAAGGAAAAATGCATTTTCTCGCGCTTTGCACGGGGTTTGTGTCGCTGCTGCTAGCACATTATTTTGCGTATTATATTGTACATGTGGTTCGGGTTGCACGCAAGAACAGTAGCAGTGGCAGCACGGCAAAGTTGGCTCCTCCATGGCTGCCATATGCGATTCCCGGGCTGGGCCACAGTTTGTATTTCATGACGGAGCCGTTTGTGCTGTTGAAAAACTTGAGGTACGTATGATTGCCATTACAGAGTCCCGGAAAAATCGCCGTTTGTGTTGACAACAAGTCTAGATATCCCGTTCGCCTTCGCCTGCCTGGTATGGATCCCTTCCTGATCCAGGGCGTGGACAATGTACGCCGGCTGCTAAAAGCAGCGTCGGATACCAACCCTGCACATGCACA